TATTGTATTGCATTGTATCGTATCGCATCATATCGCGTCACATCGCATCATATTATATCCAGACAGAATAGGAATGAGCGGAAAGACTAATGAATTTTGGCCTGACGAACGTTAAGACTTCATTAAAGCTTAATATCTGCACATCCGATTCCGCCGCTGCAAAACGAGAATATATATGTATATGTGTACACGTTAATATATATACATATATAATTGATCAATCCGTGCGGTTTGGATTTTGGATGAACTCTCGTTCCTAGATATTTTTCTTTTATTTTCTATCCTATTTGTACTACTATTCCCTTATATCTAATCGCTCGTTTTTCGGCAATCTACTCTCGCTCTCCTCGGTTCCGCTCGCGCACACACACACACACACATATACTCTCCTTACCAATTCCTATCTTGCCTATCCTTCCGTTTCTTCTTTCTCATCTTGCCAACTCAAGCCATTGCCATTATTTACTTTTCCTTCTCCCGATATATCTGAAAGCTCTCCCTTTCTCTCTCTCTTTCGCTATCTTTCCCTTAACATAACAGTTCGCGTTAGAGCAAAACTCTGAGGCGATGTTCGGATTTCACGAGTAACCGAACTCGATCCAAAATGTTTTAACGATACTGCGAGCTTTTTCATTTCGTCTCGAGGGTCTCGCACGGGAGAAATCAATCGCGCAAAATTCTAACGAGCACTAATATCGCTCCCGGCGGCGGCGTAATTAAGCGTGCCTCGCGACACGCGGAAGTAGAGCGCGGAAATAGACGACCGGTCGCGCGAGAGGAAGAAACCGTTGCTCTCGGTGGTCTCTCTCTCTCTCTTTCTCTCTCTTCCTTTCACTTTGAGAGAGGGTAAATTGTCGATGAGAGAGCCGGGGAGACCGGGCGACGGCGACGACGGCAGCTGCGCGTGAGATCCACTTATTCAATCAGCGGCATTCAGCGCGATATAAACGCGAGAGTCGCGCGATATAAACGCGATCCGCAATATCGGGCGCGATTGTCGCCGGCCGGTTCCGCTTCTCGTTGTCGCGCGACAGCCGCGCCGGACAATAAACTCGTGAGCCCGCGGGTCCACGAGGACGAGATTAATTTACGGCTGCGGGGCCGCAACAGCGCGCTCTAACTCACTTTTCACGGCGAGGACTCGGCGGGAATTAATCGCGCGGCTGGGAAAATTAAATTCGTCAAAGGCAATTTTTTTTCCTCTTTAACTTTAAAGGGACGGGAACAATGAGTCCGGAGAGTAGTCGCGACGTTTTGTAGTTCCCTCTCCGCGCGACGCTGGAATAATAAAGTTCCTTACGCCGTGCCACGCGTACGAAGCGCAAACATCGCCCGCTCGCGTTTATTATTTTTCCATCGGTCGCGCGCGCGCGCGCCCACGGGAGCGCAGTGTGACAACGGAAAAATCTCTACTCGGCGAACCGTAACCACCGGCTGGGTAATTGGAATCGTTAATGGACAAATTGTCCACCTCCGGGCGTTTCAGTGTCGAACGCCGATAAATTTGCATGTTCGACAGGAAAGGGCAGCCATTACAGGCACGCCGCCGCGCTTTCTAACCATTTCCGAGCCGCGAGAATTAGTTCAATTTGTCCGCTCGTTCTTCCGCAGCGGAGAAAGAGACGGAGGGGAGGAGATCGTGGACGTGCCCGGTATTTTCGATTGATTGACGGATGGTTCGATCGATCGGTCGGCGGCTGCTGGCTTTAGGCTGGAACGCGCGTCGCATAGTGCCCGAGAAACTACGAAATACACGGGCGAAAATAGCGGCAGACAGGGGGGACGGGAGAAAAGAGCGGAAAGAAAAATAGACGGAGCCAAGGAGCGCGGAAACTTCGGCTGGGATCTCGCTCTCCTTCCCGTCCCTTCCGCTGTTTATATTCGACCCTCGCTCGCATCCCTCGCGATCCGCGGTCGCTTCTTTATTCGCGTAACTTCCCCACGGTCGCGCGCTTTTATTTTCCTTGTCCTCCCTAAGTTGCGCCCGAAGAGCGAGTCTGGCTTAGGAAATTGCGGGATTCGATGTTGGTACACGCGATCTTCGCTTATTAAAATCGCCAGCGAACGGGCGGAGATATATATATATATATATATCGGGGGTCGAAAGGGAGGTTCGATTTGCGATACGCGTCGAGAGGCGCGGATACGGCACGTAATCGCCGGCTCGAGGATGTTGGGACGTCAAAGTTGCAGCCGAGCTGAGCCCCAATCGCTTCCGGTCGATACTTCGATGCATCTCTCTCTCGCAAAGCACTCGGGCTTCTGTAATTTACAACGATTTTGCGCTTTTTGCAACTCCCTGGGGGCCTTCGATCACTATTTAAAAGCAGCCCCCCCCCCCCTCTCGTTCTCTCGGCGAGACTAATTATGAGTCGTTTACTTCGAAAGCGGATTAAGTCAGCGTTGAAACGTACGGCGACGCGTAAACCACTTCCGAACAATGACGATGAGCACGGCGAGAGGCATAACTAGAATAATTAAGTAATTGCATTCGGATAGATAGAATTAAATAGTTATACGTGCGGCGACAGAATTACGGCAGACCACATACGTAGCACGTCGCAGCGATAGGACAAAGGATTACATTATGGCAACCGGAACAAAATATAATCATAATGCAGCATCAGCGGATCGTTATAATATACCGCAGCGCAAAATACTAAATAACGCCAAATTCTGACGGCAAATTCAGCGACTGTGTCGCAAAAGCGCACCGCGCCGCTCCGTAATGCAACCCGATGATTCGCGAAACATTATTAAAGGCCAGTAAACTCGGCCGCGGAGCACGTTCGATTGGTTGGCCGCGGCATCGAATCGAAAAAGGGAGAAAGAGAAGAGGAGAAACGGGGGGAGAGAGAGAGAGAGAGAGAGAACATGGTGGAACCGACACCGCGAAACGCGAACGTAATCATGCGAGTTTGATCGGCGAGCGAGCGAATAATCGCGCCGGCGCTCGCCGAAGGTCCATCGCGAATTGTATTTCCAGCTTTATGCATACTTTATCGCCGCGGGGTAGATTTTGCCGCGATTGGAAACTGGCTCGCTCGCTTGCGCGCCCACTCGGCCGCACCTAGTTTGGCCACCCTGTTGTTTCCGCAGGATCGTTGCGACTATACGAGCGATGTTACGTAAAAATAAATTAACGCGTGGAATTTCGAAAAACGCGGTCGGATTCGCGATACGAGACTGAAATTTCGGGTGATACATTGTTAAAGCCCGCCCGTATCACCGTAACGTAACGCATTACCATCGTTTATTTCGGGCCGACTCGCGCATGGAAATATGTATTCTTTTGAAAAATGTAAAAAACAAATAGAAAGGAAGAGGCGAGGAAAGGGGGACGTTAATCGCGAATTTGTCGCGTCACCCTCGATTCGAACCCTAGAACTAAGGGCGGAGGGATGCGGAGGTCGAGGGAGAGGCTCGTCTGAATCTCGATATTCCCGTTTACGTGGCTGGAATGCAATTCCACGGGATCCGATAAAATCGCGCTCCCTCCCCCCTTCGTCCTCCTTCTCCTCTTCAGGAGGGGGTGGGGTAAATTGTCCCCGTCGACTGTTCCGTTGTTCCGGAACGGCAAATCAAGAAGTTTTGGCAACGAGCTATCTCGCGGTAACTCGAGGCTGAGAGAGAGAGAGAGAGAGAGAGAGAGAGAGAGAGATTCTATCGTCGAGAGAAACCAACCCTTGCACAGCCCTTCGCAGCCTCTCAACCGCGTTGTGTGTTCCTCTTTTGGCATGCTGGTCCTCTCCTCTCTCCTTCCTTCCCTTCCTGACGACCTCGTAGCTCGAGGGTGGAAGAAAGCGCATTCTTGCTGACGGATAGCAATTTGCGACGTATCGTCGCAACTTCGATGGAAATGCAGGGTTATCGCGGAATATCTGCGATGCTGACGAAACCCGTTGCCAAGGGAGGTTGCTCGCGGGAGCTGGGGTAGTAATGAAGAAACGGAATGATTTGTACCCCGATAAAACGGGGCAGGATATTCGCCTCGCTGCGTGGCGCCGTCGTATCACGGAATGTTTCGGGACGGTGGTTTCTCACGATAATCCGTTGTTTCGCAAAATTATCTTCGCGATACGATTAATGACAGCAAAAAATAATGTCTACGTGTGTAATATCTTTAATTTTCCGACGATAGATCGTCCACGTTATATGTACAACAGAGGATGGCTATCGTGATGCGTTCTCGCGTTCAAGACGCGGTCGATGTCGATCCGGGCGTGCGAAATATCTCGGCGAATCTCTCACAACACGAGCAGGTTCGCGTTTTCCGTCCGACAGTCGAGCGAAAGAAGAAGAACAACGATACCCGGTATCCCGGTGAGAGATGTGTACCGATTAAAGAGCGATCTATCCACGTTCGCGAAACGCACGTTAGCGGTACAGAAAATCCTCAGCATGACGGATGCCCGAATCGCGTGGGGGCATCCGCGAAGGACGAAGTGAGACCTGCTCTTTTCCTTTTCCGTCGGACGAGCGAGAGTGAGGGAGAAATAGTTCGACGAAGTTTCAATATTTCGGTCACATAGCCGAGGTTTGGAAAAGCCGCGAGGGGCGGAAAACCCGCGGCGAGGAGGGAGGGCCGCGAGGGTGAAAGGAGGTCGAGGGCTTTTTTTCGCGGGAAATACGTTCTCGTCAGGAAGGCATCCTCCTCCTCCTCTCGCTGCTTCTCATCCTATTCCTCCACCTTTTTCTTCTCCTTTTACTTCCACGGAGGATTCCACCTCGACAAATCTTCCCCGGAAAACCTCGAACTCGTCGAAGACGCCGCGCTATCCTGCGGTAAAGTCCGGACGAAGCCCTCCCGCGTTCCCGTACACTTTATTCGAGAGCGTTATAGCTCTTCCAGCGAGCTCCCAGATAATGGTGACGCGCGAAACGTGAAATTCCGAGATCAAACTAAATTCGCCTTCTTTCCTCGATATTAATTAAAAACGGTTCCGATGGGGAGTCGAAATGAGAGATACTCAACAAATCGCTCACCGTTTGTGTCGCAGGTTCTCCTGTTCCCCGAGGAAGGCTGGGCGAGAAGCGCGAGTAGTTCCTACTGGACCCTGACGCCGTTCTGGTGGAGCCGGAGTCGGTGCAAGGTCGTGGAGGTCGCTGGAACAAGGAGGTGAGCAAACGGTCAGGAAAACGGGAAAATAAGGAAGGATCAGAAAGAAAAAGCGAAAGGATGAATTTCAGTTTCGATCGTTACTCTTTACTGCTACAATCCAACCAAACTGAATTATAAATCTAACTAAATTAAATTCTAAATTTCAATAGCCGTGTTAAACTAACAACGTCCACGCTAAAAATAAATTACCTCCACATTACGTTCGAGTAAATATTTACTAATGAGTATTAAAGTAGATTATTTTATTTGGATTAAGTAAATATTAGTATATTAATATTTGAGTGAGCACCTTTTTCTTTCGATTGCTACACTCAAGTAATGTTTATTTAATCCGAATAAAATAAACTGGGAATTCTTCAATACTCCTTAGTAAATATTTACTGGAACGTAGGAAATATTTCTTCAATGCGCGCGTCCACCTAAAGCGTTCTACTGAGCGTTCTGCTGCCGGTTATTATGCATAATCGCTTCGAGATAATTACAGTTTCTTATCACTTCATTCGTGGTGTAATTATCGTGTGTGTGATAGCCCACGTTTACGATGCAGCATTCGAGGCGGGGTCTGCAGGATGCGCATCCTGCTGCCCGGTGAGATAACGAGCACGAGAATCGTACACGTAAGGAGGATAACGTACGGAGACGGAATACCGTATCGCGGGACGAGAGTTAGAGGAGTGAGCGCTCTCTTCTCGGTGGTCGTATCACTTGGGGAAACTGGGGCTCGTCTAACTTTCCGGCGTCCATAGATTTCGGCGCCGTTAAGGTCGCCGGCGGTCGAAGCCGATAAGGAGAACGCGATTTATAGCGATCGGTTCGATCACGCGGCCGCGAGCATGCGCGCAAGGAAGACGCCCCCGACCCCCTCGAATTGTCTTCCTCCTCGAATGCCGAGAGTCGTGATAAATCCTCGAAGAGGTGGAGACGAGTCCTCGGGAAGCTTCGGGAGCAGCGTGAGCGCGATAAAATCGCGCGTTTTACGACGACGTCGGGAATCGAACGTTGCACTTGTCGATTCCGCGAGAATCGTCCCGGGTTTTTTTCCCGCGAACGATACGGAGAAGTTCGCTCTCGGGGAACGTTACGGTGCGATAATATAGCGGCATCAAAGGGAAAACACGCGGGCGATACTATATTACACGACGGGGAATGGTCCCGCGCCGGATGAGACGCGCGCGAATATCTTTCTCACATTCCTTCTCCCTTTCTCTCGATATGTTCACCGGTCTCTCTGCGGCTGCCTCGAAATTCGAATCTATTCCCGAAATACCGAGGGAATCCATGCTTAGGGTACCTCCGTAACTGTGAGAGTCATACGGCGATTAATATATGGTCAGGGCCGGCCGCGGGGCATCCTTAGCGCGGCGCACCAGGCATAGACGTCTCCGCAGGATCGAACGGAGTTTGCGGAGGCGACCGAACTTGCCTAAATATCCCACGGCCGCCCGTATTCCCGGTCTTCCCGCCGGCAACTGCTCTCCCGCGAGAACCCGAGCGTCTTAGCAAACACGCGGCACAACGGCCCTCGCAGCACGAATCGATTCCTACGTCCCAATCCACGTGGACACGCGTATAGTTGGCGTTGGTCCGCACGGCGGGCGAAGCGGAGCGCGCGCGAACGATATTACCCCCGCGAGCTGTGTCCTTTGACAAATCCCGTCGCTAAGTTTACGCTCGCGGTTCTCCCGAGATTCCGCATTCCTACGGATCGATATTTCATCCTTGATTTCCAATCGCGTTGCTTGGCCAACGAAAATCCTCGCGCGACTTCCCACCGCCGAGCTGCTCGCGAAATAGCGGGAAACGGGGATCCCGAGGATCGATATTTCGCTCGTATCTGCGATCGTTGCTTCGTCGACGAAAACCTCACGCGTTTCGAACGAGCGAGATAGTTATATCGAAGTCGTCTCTCGAATCCCGCCCAAGACCGCCGCTTTATTCTGATCTCCGATTGCAGCTCGGTAAACAAAACTTTCCCGGGGCTGGTTGGAATATCGGAATAGTTAGAGCAAGGATCGTCTCGAAGCACGGGGAAAGATCCTTACGCCGGTCTGATCTCCGATCGCTGCTTGGTCAACAAAAGTTTCCCGACCGCGGGTTGTAACGCCGGGATAGTTGCGTCGGGATCGAGTCGATCCGCGACGATCGCTACTTTATTTCGATCCACGTCATTGCTCGGTCAACAAAACCTTTTACGAGCGAGCTGAAACGTGAGGACAGTTCGACCGTCGATCCGTCGCTCGGCGAAATCTCCCCCATTTATCTTCATCGCGGACTTCGACCTTCCATCCGCTGCAATGGACTACCGGAGCGAATCCCAGCCGATCGGACTATATTCGGCGCGGCAAATACGCAGCAACGGTGAACACGCCAATTTATCGACAAATTAGCCCGTACATGTATAAACCATACCTCGCGAGGGTACCAATGCTATCGTTACTGACACGAACTAATTACCGACACGATTATCCTCCCTAACCCGTGACACTAATAATTATTGCTCACGAGACTCTATTTTTTGCAATTAAATTCCAAGCAGCGTCGACAAAAAATAAGTATTTATCGTGGAAATCAGTTATTTTTTTTTTGAAACCCCAAACGTATGCGATAAAAAGTAAAATGTTAAATATTTTACATTTTTGACGTGTCCCAGAAATTCTAAATTTTAAGTGGAAATAACTCGTTCGTCGTGTGTTACTTGTTCACAAAATGAAAATGTTAATAAATTGAAATTAACACATTTCCTACCAACATATTGATATTATTTTACTTTAAATTTTATTCATAATACTAACATTTGATATTCATTAAATTGACATATTTATAATGTTAAATGTAATATAATATAATTTTAATTTGCGCGGATGCACGTGCATAGTCTTTGCAATGAGTTTCCGGACTCTAGTTAACCAACTATTTTTTCTGTTCTGGTACATTCGTTAAAGTACCAAAATACTATTCTTTGCTTGCACAGAAAGCTGAGATCGTCTGCAAAATTTTTTATCTATATAGTTAAGTGAATGCGCGTGCTTGAACTTTGTCGATTATGGAGATCTTCTGAATATTTGTTTTCAACATAATATTTTTTTTCTAATGTATATCGTTCCACGAAATTTAAAACTACTGTCATTTGTCTGCACAAGCCACCGGGGCTTTCGGCAGGAATTTTAATTTGAGCGAATGTTCGCGCACGCAAGTTTTTCCGTTTTTTTTTGTTTATTTAAGCTAAAATATTGACACTTTTGCACAGTATTATTTTTTTTTGTATATCTTTGTTTTTTACTAAGGTTAAAGTTGAAAAAAAAATTTTTTTTAATTTTCATTCAAAGATCACCTCAAACTTCAACTACATTATGTTTAGATATATGTATTTTGTGTTGCTTAAATTTTAAGATGATAACATTGTTTTACTACGGGTAAGATTGACACAATTTATATCTATAAATTTTAATGTATAAAATGTCACTAATAATTTTCAATAAAATTAACATCTTTGTTAATCGATTTCGAACACAAAATGTTGAGATAACAAACGTAATATGTTAAATTAACTGAAGCAATTGTGTTAAAAGAACTCGAAACAATATTTTATTTTTAATGATACATAAAAAATGTTAATTTACTAAATTGGTATAAACATTGGCATAGAACATATGAAAACGCCATGAAAATGGTAATATATCAGCTGTATGTTAATTTTATATTGAAGTAATAATCGAAAGTTGGCAACGCAAGAAAATTTTAACTTTAAAATACACGGTTTCCTACTGTGTATTATTTCATCTATATTTTGTATCCAGGAGGAGTTTCTATTCTCCTGTTTATTTAATAATAATAATAATAATAACAATAACAACAATAACAACTGCTGGTATATTTATCCATAAACACAATTTCAGTAATGTTTTCAGTTATCCTTCGATCTCGCTCGGTTTATTCTTTTCCTAGCATCTTTCGCGAGTATTCGATTACGAACATTTGATACTCGCTGTAAAGTTGTCGATGTTATCGTTAATATCAAAGCGAGCACTATGTTGTCACCCGTATGGTCGCGTAAATGTTAGCAGGAGACGTCTAGCTGGTGTCTTCCTTCGGCGGTTCAGATTTCCTTTTGCACGGTCTTTCTTCACGAGAGAGACAGAGTGAGGAAGCTGAGGAAGTCAAAGCGAGACGGTGGATTTCGAGCCGGATCCGCCGCCGCGTCGTTCACTTCAATGGAGGCCGTTTAAACTTTTAATGATCGTCGCCGGTCCTCGAGCGACGGCATCTCTGCCGGAATAAGCCCCTCGAGTCGATCGTGCGCGAGCGTCGGTGAACTCTCAGCCTTTCCTCTTGCCCTTCTTTTTCCATTTTTATGTGGAGCGAAGGACTTCCCCTCTCCTCGAACGTTTTTAGATGGAGGCTTCTCCGATATCTCCGGGCTTTGCGCATACGATTTTTACTTTCGCCGCTCGCTTCGAGAGCGCGTTTTGAAGTTATCTTTCTATTTTGAGATAAATGAAAAATGATTGACTCACCTCTCTCACCTCTTTACGATTTAAGTGTGCAAAATCGTTCGCGCGACAAGCGGGTTACAAAACGCTACTCGACAGAAATTCGGCGGAACATTGTCGAAAAATTGGTGGAACGACGCTCTTATAGAGTATGGAATCTACTTTGCTCCATTCTCTCCCTCTCGTCTTCTTTCTTTGAAGAGGCACCCCCCAACATCGGCCATCACCAGTCGAGCGGAACTCCCTCCTGCTTTCCCTATTCAGTCCCTTCACGATCTACCCTTCGTTCAGCTACGACGAGGATCGCGGTATAGCCTAAAGACACGGCACGTAACTAACGACGATCGTCAATTAACTTAACAATGCGAGTTCGACGACGGTCCTCGGAAGTCTCGTGCCAACCATCTAAAGTTCGAGCGTCGTCAAAAGTCCCCTCCCTCGCCTTTCCGTTCCGCTCTTAATCGAGCGAAATAATAATTTCCCTCTCGACAATTACGACAGATAATATATATTAAATGATGCACGCGATAATGATATGCAAAAGACGACGCGTTGCGCGACGAAAATCGCAAAAAGACGAAAAAGTGCCCCGGCTGACTTCGTCCCCTTCCACTCGCGGAAGCGACGCAACGTAAACAGCTTTCGCGAACTCTTACAAGAGCAACCGGCAAGATCGCTTCCTCGCGAGCGCTTTTTGTCCGTATGCACAATGCCTCGCTACCCTCTCGCTACACAGCTCTCGGGACAAGGGGTAAGAATAAAATCGAGGGTGCGCCGGAGGGTCTCAATCTTCCGGAGGGTTTCTGTCGCGAAGACGTTAAGATGAAAAGCGGCTGAGAACTGAAGACGACCAATTGATAGCTCTTCCCTCATACCCGATATATCAAAATTGATCACGTTCGCCCCGATATCTTTTTCCGCTAGTTATATACAAGGTGCATCATATATTTCTCGCTTTTCGCAGACGTTAAGGGGATAGCATACGTGAAAAGTTTACCGACAGAATATTGATATCTTTCTGCAAAGTTTACGTCTTATTGATTGCACAGAATTATTAATGCTTTTACACAGTGAACGCGCGAAAATGAGTTGGAAGCGTTGCTCAATACGTGGGAAAAATAATGAAAAGTTTCAAAGTGACTTCTCTAACTGTCAGTTAGCGTAAATATTTACCTAACGCAGAAATCCTGCAGCTTGCACGTATCGAATATATCAATACTCCAATCAGAACAGCTTCAAAGAATATTTTTATATCTTCCGAGTGAAACTTAGATGTTTAAAAACAGATGGAAAGTTTGCAGAAACATTTTTATATATCTTGCTAATAGAATTTACGTTAGATATGGTAAAACAGAGTAGCGCACATTCATCGCATTTACATTTATATCGTACTTATATTTAAATTAGTAAGATCTATATGTATAAGAAGTAGTGAGAAGAAAAATAGTATGTCGTGTCAGTGTTTATGTAACATTTCGAGGATCGCCTCTATCTTATCGATGCTTATCAAGTTCGTCAGCGACTTTAGCGTCTCTTTAATTCAGTGAGTCATTCCTAAATTTTACTCGGCTATCATCCTCTTTCAATTCGCGATCGCAATGTTTACTGTTTCAGGTACAGTACGCAGGCGAAGATGGTGGACACGGGTACAGGCACGCTTTACATTATCGGCTCGTTCAAGAGGATGACGACCGATCCTGATTTCAAGGTAATACAATCGACGCGATAAATCGAATTAATGTGTGAAGTCCAGCCCCTCCGTAAATTTTCCTTTCATTTGATAAATTGCATCGTTGCGTCCGGTTGTTTCTCAGTCATTTTTCTATGCGCCAAAGAATAACGCAATGTGCTACTATTTGTTGCACTTAACTCTTGTTGCGCCGATAATGAAACGCATAATAAACTACGCCGAACCCTTCGTAAATTCGATAACACACGACTTGTTAATTGCCAACACGCCCGTCGCGGCTCGTGGAGAAATAACCTTTAACCTTTCCGGAGACTAGACCACGTTATATTTTCCGATACACCATACTCCCATCTCACCTTGACCCGAAATTATTTAGAAACCACCGGCAGCCGCTACCATAAATTCCCTTCCGCTGTAAATTCTTTCTCCCTCGCTCTCCCGTTCCCACTGCCTCTCCATTTATAAACGCAGACGTATATAATTCTCATTATCACAAATGAAATATTTAATACACAAACCGGGATCATATTTCATTTCGCGTAAATTTATTTCCCGTTTTACGCCCAAAGGGCGAAGTTCGCGCGGTATCCCGCGCGGAGCGACGCACCGGGCGTTTTATCGGAAGCTCGCAGTCTCTCTCTCTCCGCTGGCTAATCTGCAGATTGCCGGATTACGAGAAACTTTGTTCTCCGTGTGATATTTTCGCTCGCTCGACGGGAACGGACGCATTCACAGAGCGAGCGCGACGAATAACCGTATATATCGCGGCGAGTGTGCACCGCTCAATTTTTAGACACCTTTATCGCGCGCGCAAGCGGAAGGGTAGCGGGGTTGGGGCGGTGAGCGCGACGATAATTAAATAAATATAGCAACGCGGAAAACTTCATATCGCTCGCTCGTTGTAACGACCGCGCATGTTTCCGCGGCCGCGGAAACAGGTCGAGCGCGCGAGTTTGCGAGCGGGCAAATGAAACAAATTAAAGGAATCGCGTCCGCCGGTGACATGCCCGTGCGTGCGCCGCGAATTAACAAGATCGTTCGACACTCGTGGCAGGAAAAAAACAGGGTAGGACTGTCGCGGAAAACCGAGGAAACGCGCGTCGCCCTGTAGCGTTTCCCGACGATGAATCTCATACTCGTCAAACACGCGGTTATCGTATTTATCACCGGGAATTATTACGTCACGTAATTACACCGGTGAGTCCGATGCGCCAGAAAAATACGATTGCACGTCGTAACGAGACCGTAAAACTTTTTATTGGCAAACGCGTCGCGCTCGCTCATCGCTGTCGCGATTACACGCATACACGCGCGCGCGTGAAAAGCATTATTCTACGGATTGAATTTTTTCGCCCCGTATTTCCTTTTAATTCTCCACCGTGTAAAACGTTCGACGCGAATTCGGCGCCGGTCTCGAAGGGGGGAATAACTGTCCGAGTAACAACGGGGAAATAACCGATAAAAGGCGCCGACGTGTCTCGCATATGTCCGTGGCGCGCCTCCGGGACATCGCGACGCGTTTTCTCGACATTTATCGAACCGGCGGGAGAAGAGTCACGTCGCGAATAGACTTTTTCCGTAGCGGACAGAAGGAAGAGAGAGAGAGAGAGAGGGAAATCGGGAAGGCGAGAGCGAGCGAGAAAGAACGCGTACCCACCAAATGCTAAAGTGGATGCCATTGTGCGCCGGCGGGGGAGCCGTATAGTTGGCGCGCGGGATTTTACGACGGCACTAAAACGCGAAAGCTGCGGCATGTGCGGCGGTGGGTAGCTAGGTAGGTAGGGTGGTTGCAGCCCCCGTGTGTCCCCGAATGCAGTCGCGCACGAATGTGTATCAGTAGGTTGCCGCGCCGGCTGCTGTCAGACGGTAACATGATAACAGTCGGCCATAGCTGTCGTGTGCAATTTTGATGGAGGGACCAACCGGCATAAAGAACAAGTATGTGGACACACACCGGCGTTCGCTCGCTCGCTCCTTTCGAATCGACGCGGTCGTTCACCCGCCTGATTATCCCCCGAAAGAGTTGCCCTCGTCGGCGTCGCGCCACCCTGTCTTCTAGATATATTCAATTTCACGAGCGGCGAAAACTACCGGCGTCTACCGGGGTATTTTTAATCGTGAATTGCCGGGGACCGCCGAGACGGTTTAATTAGCACGGACAAATTTTGGAGCAATTTCTTTCGCCGCGCTGGCTCATTCGTAGTTATAAATACGCGCGCGCGCGCTTTGCGAAGGGAACAAAGTACCGCAGGAGTGGGCGGCATCGAGAAAAAAATACCGTCGAGAGTAATTTCACGGCGCGCATACTTTGATATTCTATACCTGGGAGGTAAAAAAGAACGAAAAAGCTATAAATCGCGCGAAGGAGAAAGAAGAATATAACGGGGGTTCTTCCGCGAGTTTCGCTCGTGTTTGTGTGTGCGCGCATGGTTGTGATATCGTTATCGATCTGTTGCTCTTTCTCTCTTTGCCCGCAGCTGTACCTGACGTCGAACGTCTCGTCGAGCGACTTCAACATGGGCTACAGCATGACGGGCACGCTGGAGCGCGGCTGCAAGAAGACCAACACCTTCCAGATGACCCACTTCGCGGTGATACGACGGCGGGACTACGAGAAGGCGTACGAGGACCCGAATCCCACCTAGTGTCCGTCCACACCCACGCTCTCGGAGTGTGGGGACTGCGAGCATTACACGTAGGAGTAAGGGCCGCCGGCAAGAGGGATGCACTTTCACGCGTGTCTCACGTGCGCGGGGAAGTGCATCCGCGTGGCGTTCCGGCTCGCTCGATGGATCTATCGGGAAGGAGCGGCTCTTCAGCGGGGAACGTCGCTCGCGAACTCCCGGAAATGCCGAAACTATCGTTCAGGTCTCCCCGACGCTCCGAAAGTCCGTGATCGAGAACCGGCCGAGGACACCTGTGTAACGTTAGACCGCCAAGTCGCCGATTAAAACCGATTTGTTCTCGATGAGGAAAGCGAAACTGAGAAGTGGCGAGCGCGCGAAGGGGAGAAGCGAAGATAGGCGGGTGTTAAAGAAACACCGCGAGCGTTGGAGCGTTATGTACTTTTCCCAGGCGGAAGTTCACGAGGACGAGAGATAATCGAGATGGAGAGGAGTGTGAAGGTAGGAGTCTTAATTTACGCAGAATCAACATCAGCTCGCGTCTATGAGAGATCACAGGGACGGTAGGTAGGTGGGAAGTACGGGTCAAGATGGAGTGGATTGCGGGAGAAGGTGGAAGTTGAGCTTTAATTCGCCGTCAGGATAAATATTTCTTTCCCGAGTTAAAATATTCTTTTGAACTCGTACAATTTCCTCTTCTTGCGAAGCTCGCGTCGAGGCGGACTGACGAATTACACGGTGTCTCTGGTCGCGCTCGAGTCGAAGGCTCGCGGACAGGAGGACCTGGACGGCGGACTCGCAGCGAAAGGTAAGAAGGGACGAAGGATCGTCGACATAACGAACATATTGATATATACCAAAGCCGAGTGGCCCCCCCCCCGCGCGCGCGACAGCTAAACGTCCAAAGATAGTCCGTAATTTAGATGCGAATTAATTAGCTGTTAATAAAAGCGCTAACGAGCGACGCATACAGCCATAAGCGAAGTATAATACAGAGAGGCGAGAGACGTTGATCGAGAGGCGGGAAACTGTTTACCAAAGTACTAGCACGTAAGTCTGCAAGTTCGCCGGCGATAACCCAAGGTCGCAGCGCTCCTCCCCCTTCCACGAAAGGTACACTGCTTCTCATCGATCGACGCATCGACGACCGCCTCGTCGAGATTCGCGCGTGTGTAATTAGTAAGCGACTAATAGCGACTTAAGGCTTCTTCTCTCGGCGTGAATTCACGGCGCTGAACCGCCTAGGCTAGAATTATCGTGCCAATTCAGAGCCATCGTTGACGAGAGCATTGTACCTGACAATTACTACGAGAGTCAGAGCGCGGGAAGGCGCGCCGAAAAGCCCGTGCCTCGGCGAAACGATGCTCCTAAGCGGTCAAGTCGAAAGTATAATAGCCGCACACGGTCGTTCGAAAGTCCTCCGGCATAGAGAGAAATCCGCCTCCCGGGAGATTATCCTTCGGCTCGCCTTGCGCGCGAACGAAGACGTTCCTGAAAACGACGCTCGTTTCGGTGCACCTGCCATTTCGCCCCGTTACACGGCACGGGAATAAAAATTTATCGCGTCTCTGGATCCTCGCGCAAACGTCCACCAATTTCGCCGGCACCGGCCGCGCGAAATGACACAAAGCACCGATCTACGAGGGGTATAGCCCGCGTTCGCGAGCTGGAATTTCAAGTATAATTACATTTTGTATGTATTGCATTTTCCGTTTGAGAGCTCGCCGGGAAAATTTCATATGGCGGTGACCGTCGGACAGGCGGGCAGGGCTGGTTATAAATATCGTTTCGCCTGGCACTGGCTTTATAAGCAGTGTAGCTGTAGCGTGTAGCCGGCTTACAAGGTATTTCAAAGCTTGTTACGCGCCCCTTTCTTTGAGCCACCGCCGACGCCGCTCGAAGGAAGAAAGCCCGCGAGAGAGCCTCGCTGCACCGGCCGGACACACAACAACAAAGCGAGAGAGAAAGAGTGAGCCTCTCCCCTCTTTCTCTCGCTCTCTCACTCGCTCTCTCTCTCTCTCACTCTTTCTCTCTTTTACAGGATCATCGTGAACCGGTGTTGTAACCTTAACACGATACTTATTTTTGCTAAAGAGTAGGAAGTCGCTCACGATGCCAGTCACGATGCATCCCGATAATCTAACGAGTGATGACTGCCGATCGTTCGTTCGAGACGGACAGTGGCTCCAAAGTGGAGCCGAATAGGAAATCCTGAGGATTCCGGAAACGGGAATTTGGACTCGACGAGTCCTTTCGTGCTATGCTTTACGAACGTCAAACGTTGATTCGTGTTAGCGGTTAAAGTTACGTTTCGCGTATGTTTTCGAATAATTCATTTATTCGTCGTTGTTTTGTACGATGAAAGATGTCATTTACGTCTCGTCATTTAGATTTTTTCTTGCGCATACGATATTACTGATGTTATCGAAGTTGCGCCGCGATTCGAGCGAATCACCGTGCGAATACTAGTCGCGGATGTGTTTTTGCATCAGACGTTTTCTCGTCTCGCACTGCCGTCTTCGCGGAAAAAAACCGATGGCGAACGAGCGGCGGTGAGGAAAATTTTACTAATAACAAACTCGTCGTTCGTAATCCCCTAGAGTCCTCGATGAGATCTAGTACCTTCCGCTTTTGCTCAAGGAATTACCTAATGCCAAATAAATACTATGTGCAATAGAGCGCAAGGAAGTTAAGTTATTAGAATAACATAACGTTGCGTTAAGTTTCACTATCGAGATAAAATGTGGTGCATCCGAGTGTCGAATGAAATTCAAAATATTACTGTAGATTATTTTTGTCGATGATACCTAGATGATAGGAGTGTAATGGACAATTTGTTCGATTGATCCTTTCAGTATCGAATCGAATAGATGGACATTCTCTTGAAAAGAATTTTACGATAATTCTATTTTTAATCCTCTTAAGATTGTCACATCAACGAACATTAGTTCGACAATTTGTAGGTCTCGAAGAGTGCAATACGCACAGGGATACTGAAAGGATTAAATAATAAGTCTCGCGGCTTACAGTTTTCATTTTTCTTCGCGTTAATATCGCCGTCGCGCGTCGACGCTTTTCTCGAATTTTACGCGAATGCAGGCGATCGAATCCAATCGGATTCGCCGAGCCTCCCATTCGAGCGGTGGTGTTACGTGTTACAGGGTTTAGCGTTTTTTCGCAATTCAAGGGTGGCTCAAGGTTTGTCGCTTCTCTCGGCAATCTTCGTCCGAACTTGATCAACGTGTCGAGATAAAAAATGCCGGGATTGCTAGGAGAAGGAATCATTCTGTGAATCGATGTTGCTCATAATACGGTAAACTCTCGTTAGGTCGAATCCTCCTCCACTACAAATCCTCCTCCACGATGAATTGCTGCTAGTTTCGAGTTCCTCCGAATTTGCTCTAACGAGAGTTTATTGTGCTCGTACTTTGCCATTGTGCGTACGTGTGAATGCATGTGTACGTGTGTGTTTGTGTGTATGTCAGAATTACGTTCGTTATTATTACCCACGTTACTTGGATTGCGAAAATCGAGTAGAGGATCGATAAGATAGCGTACCGCTGTACATGTACATATATATACGGTGTAAAAACAAGTACATAACGTGCACTCATCACACGTACATATACCACACACATACACAGACATACACACGCTCTGCGAGTAAATGAAATTTCCGCGAGAACCTCGTTGATGTCGTAGATCGTTAGATTAGCACTCGTGACGCTTCTTTTAGCCGATCTAGTCCTTAGATCTAGCATGGACCGCCCGTCGTAGTTAGACTGTTTTCGATAGCGGCAGATTACGTAACCGAGGGATTCGCGCAAAACCGAGAGAGCAACTCTCGCGAGCCGATGTGAGTTTCGGCGCTTCGGCGAAATCGACGAGTCCGTCGTCCCTATAAATTTCGCGGCCGCATTCGCCCATCGCCTAAGGGTTATTACTTCGAAAAACTATAGCCATTCGACGCGTTCTCCGTCTTACTTGGCGAGCAGCCTCCGTTTTACGACGCCGCGGCTCCTAAATTCAACAACGGCGAATTTCCGGGCGAAGGGGAACCGCGTCGACGGCCAGACGAGACGTCTTACTCCGCTTCCTGGCTCTTAAGATTCATGGTTGTCGCTCTTTATGACGCTCTTTCGATGTCGACGGGAAGCCGGTGGCACGATCGCGCGGAACTTGTTAAGATCCACGGCGAATCGCGGATATTCGATGCACCCAGTGGCCTTTACGGCCGAGATTCACATCCCGGTTTTTGCTAAGATCTCGAGAAACGCGGCGGGTACTTTCGACCATTCACAGCGCAGTCGAGCGCGTCGTTCTCGATAAAAAGCACCGGATGGTCGCGATCTATCGCTTCCGTCTGTACGAATAGCGAAGATCTCGCCTGGCCTTTCCCAGTCGAGCGTCCCCTTCGCGAAAACATCAGGGTGGATTTTGCAAATTGAGAGGAACTCAATCTCATTTTTCAATTAGACACTTTGTAAATTATCGTTTACCATAAAATTCTCCGTCGTACATATCCTGTCCTTGACAGAGGCGGCATTTTTCCTCAAGGAGCAAAATTTGAGGGAAATGCGCGATTAAATTTTCGCACTGGGCGGAGCGCGAATTTGGGACACAATCTGGCCGAGGATGTTATTTCGGCGTATCGCCGGTACGACACGCGTATTAATCTGCTCGCCCTCGGTCCGCGAGAGTCTCTTTGACTTTCTGTCTCTCTTTCTACTCTCCTCGGTTTATCCCTCGGTGAAATAACATTATTGTCTCGCCTAAAACGATAGCGGTCGTGTCCTCCACTTTTCGGGGTAGTCTTCTATAGCCTTTTAGGATGATTTAAGTGAATACGTACGTCCGATATCACGGTCCCTCCTAACTACTTAGCCGTAGTCTAGACCCACTGATGCACGCTTTCTTCGAATCTGAAACGGAGTGCTCCTATCTTCGTCAGCTGCACAACGGGTCTCTAGTCTATCTTATCGCGTCGCGCTACCCCATCGCACCCGAATGGTCCGTAATTACATCGAATTAGCGTTCAAGTGTGTTTCAAGTCCGCAAAACAATACGTACAAACAATATTTCTATTTTTGTACAAATATATTCTCCGGAATGTGCAAAAGAATTCATTTTGCTTTTACTTCGTCTTGCTCGTGCCTCGTATAAAAGTTACCTGTTATATAAAGAACAAAAGTGCTACATTCAAGCGATTAATTACTCCAACATTTCTCAGCAAATGTTTACTTGGATTAAATAAATTCTACTTACTGGATCAAGTAAATATTTTACTCGGGTGATTTTCTTGGAAAATATTTTACTTAAATCAAATAAAAATTTGCTAGGAAGTATTGGAGCAATTATTTATTTGAATCTAGCACTTTTTTTTATATATGTGTGGTTAGGAAAATCTAAAAATCTATATGCTTAAATTACTCTCTCTCTTTCTCTCTCTCTCTCTCTCTCTCTCTCGACGTCATTTTGTCGTTGGTGATGCACACCCCGCTGAGACCGCGTATTTCGTTTCATCGAGAAAACAGAATCAAAATCGATCACGGCGATTCGGATGCGGAAGAGGTAGCGGGCCGTGCCCTATCTTCGAGATATAGCGAGAATGTAAACGTAGACACGCCAAATAGTGGTCGTAGTGAAATCGATGGTCGTCGTCGTCGTATCTCATCATCGGGCGTCGCGATACCGTCGACGCTCCGCTCCATACCGTTCCTCTCCGAGTTTCTCTCGGAACGGAGCCTTATCCTCATTTCCTTTCCTCCTTTCCTCTTCCCACCCACTGTCTCTCCCCCATTCTCGTTAGATCGCTAGTCGAATCTTCACCGCTCACGCGAACGTCGACCGGCAAATTTTATTTTTTCTAGGCGGCAAAGATCCTCGACTCGCGATCTCGCGGTCTCCGAATGGCGTCGTGAGCGTCGACAATCGCGACGACTCGGCGATGATTTTCCCCCGGATGCGGCAGTCGGGCTTGATGTCACCGGCGGAAACTGGAATTCACGCACCCTCGAGGAAACGAGGAGCTCTCGCAAAGAGAAGGACCGAGTCCAGAATTTATAATTAACTATGACTTGTTTCAAGTGGACCTCGGGAATTATGTACGAGCAAATTTAGTCTATCCTGTCTTGTCTCCAACATTTCTGACAATGTCGCATTTAGGTACGGTACAAGCTAAAGACACGAGGGGCCATTAGCGCGAACTTGAATCCAAGATGGCAATTGCCATAATTTATAGCTGGCTCGCAGCGAACATGGTCTCGGCGTTTACTGTATCCCAACTGCGATAGTGTAAAACTTTGCTAATAACGACGTCCATTTTGGTAATATTAATTTGAGATAGCGGCCAATAACATACGTTGTTACGTCACGGTGTTACCTGTCGCTTTCCGATTTTTATTTCTCGCGCTCGCATCGAGTGCGATCTTCGTGTCGAGTGACACGCGAAATTAAGCAACTACGATAAGCGTCGCGGAATGATAACAGATAAACGATACGTCCCATTCGTTCAATAAATTATCCAGCAAACGATCATAAGATAAGGATTCGAAGAAATAAATGCAAACCCGAATTACTTTTCGTTAATTCCGCGTACGATCGACTGTCGCATCCGCGTCTCGTTGTAATCGATGTGTGTAGTCACATAGCGAGTAGCGAAAGAAACTAAAAAGAGATGTATCCTTGTAACAACCGCTAAACGGATTACGATATTACACTGGTCTTGGAAAAAGGAGGGAGAGAAGGCAAGAAGGAAGAAAAATACGAACGAAACATTCGTATTCAAAGCTATGGCTGTGATTCTCATTAATCGGTAAAAAAATCGGTTCATATTGTATTCGACGCATATTATATAAAAATATATATATAAATATTATATATTATATATATATATATATATACATATATGTAGGTTATATGCGACGATATATTTAGTGATAAAAACACGATATTTTGCACGCCGTTGCGTTTCGCGTTCGCGTCTCTTTCCTTTCCTCGCCTAGTCGGAATTCACGATCGCGCGCCTCTCCGTCCCGCGACGGGGCGGGCTTTATTTTTTTATCTGGTGCTAAATCCCAGAGAGTACTAGAGAGTGCGATTTCGTTGATCGAGACATCGATCGGTCCCTAGGCGTTCTGTACCGTGGCGGGAATTGAAACCGAGTGGAGGGATGTTTTTCACCGGCGTAGAAACACGTGAAAATGATCCCGGCAACGGCGAAATACAAGGCGGCGTGTTTTAGGAATAGGGATTCATGAATGAAAACAGAGCGCAAACCTGATGTAGGTGCGGCATCTGCCATTCGTTGTTTTTGCCGCCACATCGTGCAAACATGCAACGAGTTATCAAAAATCAAAGCGACCATTTCCAGTCGCATCCCAGGAGCAAATTTTACGAAGCCGCGAGCTGTCTCGAAAGATCCAAAGCTGCCACTCTCTCTATTCAATTAAGGATCCTACTTTGTGACACAAAGATCCTTCAATGAATTTTGCAACGCATCTCTCTGCCCAATAGGAGAATTTGGTTTTTAGTAATTCTCGGAAAGATAAACTTTCCTGCTCGATCTGAAATCCATCGTGGTAAAGCGTTGCAATTTTTCTGCCACTGACTGTTGACATTCGTCGTATCTTCGAACTACGGCCATTCTAACAATATTTCAATAATACTGCGACCATTTAAATAATATCAAAGCGCATCCGCCCTCTTTTCACTCACGAATCACGGTTGTTGAAAAATATCGCCAGCTGTTTTAATCCCAACCCGAGTATTTATTCGCGACGACCGATTCGCGAGATACAACCAGTGACACAAAGACCGACATATTTTTTTTTTTCAATGAATTTTGCAACGCATCTCTCTGCCCAATAGGAGAATTTGGTTTTTAGTAATTCTCGGAAAGACAAACTTTCCTGCTCGATCTGAAATTCATCGTGGTAAAGTGTTGCAATTTTTCTGCCACTGACTGTTGACATTCGTCGCATCCTCGAACAACGTGAAAAATTGAACCCGCCGAATCCGAACCACCGGTTTCGATTCTCGCGACGCTTTCCTTCGCGGTTTCTCGAACTAACCGGCGGAACAATTGCTCACTGTTTTTGCGTTTGATTGAGAATCAAATCTACGTGGAGCGGGAGCGAGCGGTCGCCGGCTCCCCTCCTAAATCAAAGCCGTTAGCGCGATAGCTCCTAAGGTTTCTCTGCGATCCACCGTCAATGCGTAAGCGCGCGCACACACACACGATTCGTTTAACGTAACGTCTAATTAATCGATTAGGCCGTAGGCTTAACGAGCGCGGTAACGTCGCGCGAATGTAGATACGCGCGATGAAAGGCCGTTCAACAGCAGCTCGTCGGCTAACGAGAGGATATCGATCCCACGCATTGATTGCGACCGCGGCCGCAGCTGAATAAATAGGCTCTCTGCGACACGATTAAAGGGAGCCCCACTGGGGACTCGAATTCCGCGGCAGAAGATTAAAAAGAAGCCGAAGCAATATAAATCGCGTCGATCGTCTCGTTTTTCTCCTCTGTATTATTTCAATGACGGAAGGAATTTTCAAGAAGGTTCAGCAAATCCGCGAGGCTAGATTTACCGTCGAAAGAGGCCGCGATGCGCTTTACGCTCTCGCTGTTGCACGCCTTTAATCGCGCGAGTACGTCGCGCGGCGGAGAGGGTGCGCTCGAGAAAGTGGTGGACGCTCCTTCGAGCACCCTCTCCGCGCCCACGTCTGTAAAACGAGCGACAGAGATAATCAGTTGACCGCGACTCCTTCGTTCCCCTGACCGACCGAGTGGTGCGGAAGTCGCGAATCGAATCAAAATCATTCCCGAGCAGCCGAGCCGAGCCCATCCGAGACAGGCCGGCGACAGGGAAACGCAGGATGCAGATGTCGTCCTCGCCGCAAGTGGAGCGACACGGAACGAAGGAAGCGCGAGTGTTCGATGTATTTTCACTACAGTCCTGTCTACAGTCAATTCATTTTGTATCTATACCTAATCTATGTATCTATCGTCATAATTTATGCCGAATAAATGTTACATTTACGCATAACCAGGTGTACACCACACGATTCTTGTCCTTCCCCGATCTGCCCCTCGAAAAATCAACATAGAATAGAAAACGCAAATCATAGATCGCAAGATTAGACGCAGCGTGACGTATTTCCGGCCGTTACAAGCCGCAGACTTCAATACGCAGGACAGAAGTTGGACGAACCTCAACCTTCGCGTCCTGTGTTGAAGCGTCCAGCCAGTCAGGACGTAATATTATGACATTCTATTTTTTCATTGGCTCAGGCAGAGTGCTCACCATATTTTGTATCTACGTAGAAGCAAAATTTTCGCATTCGTTTCTTATGACCTGCGATTTATGTTTTGCGTCGTGTGTAGATAAGTCTGAAAAGAACGCGAGGTCCTGCGACGCGAAAAAGACGCAAGTAGCGGAGCCCGAGGAAAGGAAAGAGGAGGTGAGAAAGAAGACAGGAAACGCGTAATTGGAACGACACGGAGGTAATTAGGATACCGCGCGAGTTACGCAGACAGCGCAGAATGGAAATCGCGAGAGAGAGAGAGAGAGAGAGAGAGCCCGAGAAGTTCGATGAAATTCGTTTAAGTTTAATTGACTACTGTTTCAAAACACTCGCGAATAATGAAGGATAACTTCCCGGCTTTGATAATAAGTTCGCCGGCGATAAGTAACTTTCCACCGGCGAACTTTCGGAACGTAACGGATTTATCTGCCAGAATCCGGGGGCCCGGATGACCCCCTGCGATGAATTAACACTTTGACCCATCTTCTCGGCCGAGATAAGAATTCTATTCACCGGTGAGATAAATAAAGAGAAAAGCTCGTCTCACTTGGCCCGCAGGGTGAGCACAAGCGTGTATACGCCCGTCGTAGATTACGCGTACCGAACGCTAAGCGCGTCGCGAACTGTCGCGGTAATGGATACCAGTATTCATCACTACGAGCGGACGAACTATCGCGGCGGCGGAGGAAACTGCTTCCGGGACGGAAAAGTTCCGTAAGTATTTCTCGAGCGTTTCGCTAACGGGTAACACATTTTCGATAGTAACGTCGCGCCGGAGTTACTAAACTCGCCCGGGAACTTTTCGATCGGTCGCGGCGCAGTCGGACGACGACGTAAAATTCGACGGAAGTTAGCGACGGCCGAGGAAAACTTGCCGGGGAGGAGAGAGTGCGAGAGAGGAAGACGGGACTTACGGGATCGAAGGAGGGCAGCATGCCGGCTTTATCCGGCAAAAGTCCGATATTGACTTAACGAGC